TTCGGTTGGAAATCAATAGAGTTACTCTGCAATAAGTAAATGGAGTAATGCACAAATGGACATCCATAGTTTGAATAGACATACCATCCATGTTGTTCATCATTGCCAATATGGAAATCAAAGTACACATATGTCCCCTATTCGAAATCATCTGTGGCCACTTTTGGCTCCTCGTGTCGTTGGAACCATGTGTTGTACTTTCTGTGGTATCTCCAAGATTGCTTCTTCAATTCCTTTACAGCCAAATATTGCTGGTAAGTATTCTGCATATGTGAGAACAAAACCACTGAAACTACTAAAAAGTCAAGATGCAATGAAAAATGAAAGACCTTAAAAAAAATGAAAGATAAAATGAAAAATAAGACATCCAAATAACCTGTTGGTAGTAAAATGTAAAAAATAGAGTATCGGTGCCATAAGTATCTGATCCAAGGCGTTCCCAGAAGGCAGAATTATTGACAATAGGTGCCTGTACTTGAGGAAAGCTTGAAGGGGTGACTGCAGGGTGTCTCTGTATATAGCAAAAGAAAACACTGGATAATTTAGTGAAGAAAAAAAATCAATGAATAACAAAATTTGGCAAATGTGAATTTCATACTGGGGTATAGCTCTTAGCACACTCAGAATCTTTGGGTTGAGGAAGTTTATAGTATGCAGCCTCCAGCATTTGCAAATTGTAGGCCCGGTCCTGGGCCGAGGCCAATGAGGCCGGCGCCTCAGGCCCAGGACCATAGGGGGCCTAATTTTGGCCCAACAAAATCTTTTTTTATTTTTTTTTTTACAATGCCTGTCGGCTTTAAAGGGCCAAAACCTAATTCTGAAATACAACAAAAAATTTCCAAAATCTGAAATATAGCAGCCTCCAAAACGTAATTCTGAAATACAACAAAAAATTTCCAAAATCTGAAATATAGCAGCCTGCTCGTGAGTCGTTGCCTCAGTGTCGTCTCCTTCAGGTCAGTGATTCCCAAAATCTTTGAGAACTCGTTCGAAGTCTCAAGTCTGCAGCTCTTCTATTCCTGAGTTGACTCTTCACTTGGACTTGGTAGTTTTGCACCATACGGTCCATACCATACACCCATACCGTTGGTGGCGGAAATTTGCCAATCTGGACACTTCAGCAAATCCCAAATTTTTTTATATTTATGAATGACTTAGTGCTTAAAGTAATTTCAGAATATGTTTAAAGTTGGTGTGAATGAGTAGCAGATTCCGATGATTTTGTTGATGTTTTGCTTGATTTGGAGAAGAAAAACATGCTTTCTGATTCAGACATGATTGTTGTTCTTTAGGTAATTTTTATGATTTTATGTTTTTATATAAAAGCATGCGTTTGTATAATCTTTTAATTTTCTGGCATTTAATTGTGGGTTTGCTTTATTTTGGTATATTTTCATATCAATTTGCCATGATTTGGAGTTACACAGTTTACACTTGTGATTAGCACTAAAATTTCTTTTATGGATATGCATGGATATGGGAATCTGAATATTTTTTTTTGCACCCTTTAGCCAGCTGATAGTAACATTGATATTTACCACTCTATGTCCCATCCTGTCTCGTGTTGTGTCTTGCATTGTTCAGTCGAACGTACTAAACTCGAACATTTTTTTTAATTTTTTTGTTACAGGAAATGATTTTTAGAGGGATTGATACTGTGGCCATTCTTTTGGAATGGATACTGGCTAGAATGGTTCTTCATCCTAATATTCAAGCCAAGGTTCAATTTGAACTTGACACTATGGTTGGGACTAATAGAACACTGACTGATTCTGATCTCCCTAAATTGCCCTATCTTCTAGCCATTGTTAAAGAAACTCTCAGGGTGCACCCTCCTGGTCCCCTCCTTAAGCATACTATACTGCTATTTGTTCATGAGTTTAGATTTACCATCTCATTTTTGTTGTCCATAATATTCTTGTTATTTCTTTCATTTTAATCCATCATATACTTGTTATTTCCTTACATGTTTCTTTTTGCTATTTTACAGCATCGTTGACACAATCCAAAAATTTCTTCAAATTGCAATCAACTTACTACCGGTTCAGAAAAAGGGATCATTCTCAAATGTGTAATTCCAAAATTTTCATCAAAATTCCACTTCTCAGGTAAGCAATGGCTTACCCTAAGTAGCTATGTTAGAGATTGAAAATGTTTGAAGCCTTGCCGGCTTATATAATTGCAGCCTGGTCGGCTTATATGATTGATTATTTGGTTGTTGTTTTAATGTTAGTTTTTTAAGTTAGTAATGAGTCGTATAATACATTGTTGAAGTTTGCATTTACGCTAATTTCGCCGGGGGCCTAATTTCCAGACTTCGCCTCAGGCTTTGAGAATCACAGGACCGGCTCTGGCAAATTGTACAACTGATCGTGAAATCCTCTAGGATTTGCAGCTGACACAGTGATACTATCACCAATGGCACCAAGGTCGGAGACACTTCTTCTACCAATAACATCAAGAGTTCCAAAAGGTGGATTAGATTGCAAAGGTTGCCTTGGAGAAAGATCGGTATCCCTCATCACCTGAGACGTTTCAGCAACTGAGCCAGCAAACTTGCTGCATAAATAACAGCAGCTTAGTTTTTTTTTATCGGTAAATGTAAATATATAGATAAAAAATGTACCATGTACAACTACACCGGGCATACCCGGGCGCGACAATGTCCATAATCAAATACAAATACACCGGGCATACCCGGGCGAATCAATGTCCATATACATAAACAACTACTCCGGGCATACTCGAGCAAAGACAGTAGAATGCTAATACAAAAGAAATCAAAGCTCCATGGCCAAGGATTCATAAAGAATCAAGACATCCGGATACAAAGTAAACATGACTTTGCATACGTGTGTCTTGATCCTTCTCACAATGGAATCCAAGTCATATGAGAGGTCTTCAAATAATTTCTGATTTCTCGTCAGCCAAATATAGTACACTATGGTAGCAAGAGCAACTCTCTTCACCTTGCTTAGCCATGAAGTCCCCCGAGCCTCCTTTTTCAACCATTTAAGAGCCATAGCAAGTGTCATCATTGATCTTGTGATGCCAAGCCATCTCCTAATACTCCCCCATAATGAAGATGTGAAAGAGCACTTGAAGAAAAGATGCTCACAAATCTCTTCAAAACATCCACAAAAGATACACTTGCGATCGATGTCCAAGCAGAGCAATTTGTCTTTGGTTAGGAGCTTTGATTGGGCCCCTAACCAAAGCATAAAAGCATGCCTCGGAGTGATGCACGGTTTCCAAACTTCGGCTCCCCAAGGCTTGAAAGTTCCCTTAGGCCTAAAGAAATTATAGGCAATTTTCGTATTGAATTTATCTCCAGCCAATCTGCCCAGATTTTCGTTTGAAGAATCAAAAAACTGCCTACCGAACAGAGCTGTCTGCCTGCCAAAAATTCTGCTGTAAATCTGCCCATTTCAGCCCCTAAGTTGAGGCTGGACTCCCATGGAATTAGGGCCAAAAACATCGCTTGGAGTTGAGGAATTATCCAGATTTAATTCCCCATAACAGTTCATCTGTCGAGAACAACAAATCTGCCCGGCTCCACCACTATGAAGTAGAAAGTCTCTAATTTCCAGTAGTTTTTTGAACAAAGGGGAGTGGTCTTTCCTCTTCCGGACCTCCCAAATGCTATTCCCCTTAAGGTAAACATGGTGAATCCACCTAATCCAAAGCGTCTCCTTGTTTTTATGAATGTTCCATAGGGATTTAGCTAAGAGCGCTAAATTCCAACTCTTTAGATCTTTCAATCCAAGACCCCCTTCTTCCTTCGGTAGGCAAATATCCTTCCATGCAACAAGTGGCTTTTTAGTTCCCCAAAGAAAGGTCCAACAAAGGCTAACAATTCTAGAAATAATTGTAGCCGGTATGGGAAAAATAGAGAGCCAAAAGCATTCCACTCCTTGAAGCACCGCCCTAATAAGTTCAACCTTGCCGGCATAAGAAAGGGGGGAGCAATTCCAACCACCAATATAACCCGCAATTTTATCCAAGAAAGGAGCGTAAGAGCTCACTTTAAGCTTCTCCGAGGCAAGAGGGATATCCAAATAACGAAAAGGCATAGGCCCCTTCGGAAAATCTGAGATTTCCATGATTCTTTGTAGCTCATACCCATAAATGCCAGCCGTGTAGATGCTGGATTTCAGAAAATTAATACTCAAACCCGAAGAGAGACCAAACCTTTGAAGGCAATTCATGATAATTTGAACCGACATAATATCACCCCTAGCAAAAAGTATTAAGTCATCGGCAAAAGCCAAGTGTGTCAACTTAATGGCTCCACACTTGGGGTGGTAATTGAAATCACTATCCAAGGTAGCATCCTTCATCATTCGAGAAAAATATTCAAGGCAAAGTACGAATAGGAATGGAGAGAGTGGATCACCTTGCATAAGACCCTTTCCACCTTTGAAGAAGCCATACATACTCCCATTCAAGGCAACGGAGTATGTTGGAGTGGTAACACACTCCATAATCCATGTAATAAATGTCGGTGGAAACTTCAATCCTTCAAGGACACCATGAAGAAAATCCCAACTAACGGAGTCATAGGCTTTCCTCAAGTCAATTTTAAGAATACATCTTGGGGAAACTCTCTTCCTATTATATTGCCTCATGAGTTCTTGAGCAAGATGTATATTCTCCGTCGTACTTCTTCCTTCAATAAAGGCGGCTTGAGCTTGGTCTACAATATCTCCCAAAATAAGCCTCAACCTCGATGCAAGGATTTTTGCAATCACCTTATATGTGACATTACAACAAGAAATCGGTCTATAGTCCCCCACACAAGGTGCGTGAGTAGATTTTGGCACCAAAGCAATAACCACATGGTTTATTTGCTTGAGAATAGATCCCAATGAGAAGAATTTCAAAATAACATCCACAAAATCCCGTTCAATACACCCCAAGCATTCTTGAAGAAACATGAAGTGTACCCATCCGGTCCGGGATATTTATCATCTCCAATCCCAAAAAGAGCCTCCTTTATTTCATCCAAGGAGATGTCCTGAGTCAAATCATTTCCTTGTTTCGAAGATACCAAAGGACCATTTGAAAGGATGTTGAATTCAATAGGCCGAACGACCTCTTTTTTCCCCAGCAAGTCGGTGTAAAATTGCACAAATTCGGTGGCCACTTCCTCTTGTGATGTGGAATAACTCCCGTCGCCCTTAAGAATTGAAGCAATAAAATTTCTTTTCGAGTTTCTTTTGACAATGGAGTGAAAGAATTTAGTACATTTGTCACTATCCTTGAGGAAAATACATTTAGCCTTTTGGTAGTAAAAACTACGTTCGGCTTCACATAATGCAACGGTTCTCTTCCTCATATTAGCTACCAAATTCTTAAAAACAGAATTAGTAGGCTGATTTTGGAGTTGTAATTGGGTAGCAACTAACTCACATTTTGCCTCGGATGCTCTACTAGAAATATGCCCAAAATGCTTGGAATTAAGAACTTTCAAATCCCCCTTCAATTTGCTCAACTTCTTGCAAAGAACGAATTGTTTATTCCCTCGGAAGTGAGAATTCCAGCAACCCATAACCAAGTCATTGAAATCCACATGCTTGGTCCACCTGTTAAAGAACTTAAAGGGACTTTTTCCTCTTCTCCCACAATCAAGAAAGGATACAATGCACGGGGAATGATCGGATAGACATCCGGAGGGGAGGAAATTTGCTTCCACATCAACCCCCTTTTGTATCCACACATCATTCACCATAGCCCTGTCAATTTTACTCCACCTCGTCCCATCCGTCCATGTGAAAAAATAACCAATGGACCGGACATCCGAGAGACCCACATTGAGGCAACAAGATGCGAGATCTTTGATTTCGTACGGGGTCACATCCGACCCATTGCATCTCTCATCAAACTTGAGCACATTGTTGAAATCTCCCACAATCAACCAAGGTAAAGAAACATTTTCATTAAGCTCCATAACGGTATTCCAAAGAGGCTTTCGGTTTACCATAGTATGAAACCCATATACAAAAATAACAAGAAAATCAAGAGAAGTTACCTTGCATGTAGCTTTGCAATGTATGATTTGTGGATGAACCTCCATCACATCCAAAATGACTTTGGATGGATTCCACAAAATCAATATACGTCCACCTCTATGAGTATCAAAGTTGTTTACATGCATAAAGCCATTGAACTTGTTCCTCAATATTCTTATCAACTTATGGTCTCCCACCTTCGTTTCCAAAATAGCCATGATATCAATGCTATGGAGCTTTAGGAACTCTCGAATCCCATTTTGTTTGAGGGGTGGATTCATACCCCTAATGTTCCAAGATGCTATCTTCATGATGAAGAAACAAGGGAGGAACCCCTCTTCTTAGCAACTTTGGAAACCGGTTTACTTTGCTCATCAATCTTGCACTTGAGCTTTTCATTATATACTTTACTTGAATCTGTCGGAGGAAGGTTTGAGGATAAATCTGCCCCATTCTTTGATGCCCCAACATGGGCAGATTTTTTTCCTTCAGCAGGCCGCTTTTTCTTGGCAACCACCTTCTCAAATGGGGCCTCAATCTGTCCCGGTTCATCCCCCATCCGGTCGACCACATAGTCCACACTAACATCCCCAGAATTCTATTCCTTTTGGACCGGATTCTGCCCAGATTTTTGCACAGGATTCTGCCCATTTTTTCCAAGTAAAGGTGTAGAAACATTTTCCTCAGTTCGTTTGTTCACACCCGCACCCATATCATGACTTTTCTGGCCATTTGATGCTGATTTACCAGGCTGCACGTTTTTCCCTTGGTTTGAAACAACAATTTTCCCTTTTCCTTTCACCCCTTCATTTTTATTGTTATTGCACCCGGAAGTGGAATGACCGAACACTTTACATGAACCACAAAATTTTGGTTCATGTTCATAAACAATTCCTTGCTCCCTCATAACACCATTTGGAAGTCTAATCTTGACCTCCCGAATAAGCTCAATGGATGCATCTACTTCCACAAGTGCTCTAGCAAAAGAGAGCCGACCCCTTGTAGCCGTAACCTTGTCCATGGAGATAGGTTTCCCCACCTTAGAAACAAATTTTCCTAAGGCATTCGAGTTCCAAAACTCCAAAGGTAGACCCGGCATGTTAATCCATACTGGCATAGTACTAACGTCCTTATCGTTGAAGTCAAAATAACGTGGCATGCTTTTAATCATAAGTGGTCTACCATAGACCAAGTATGGCCCTCCATGCAACACACTAAGTCTTTCGCTATCGGTTTCAAACTTGAACACTAACCATCCACTTGCATGAACGTAGTATTTGTAGTTAACTTCCCAAGATTCACAAAGTTTGAGTAAAGCCACCTTACCCGGGAACCTCCCGGCGAAGTATCCAACCAAACCAAATCCCCAAGAATTTTCAATATTATCCTCATCACCCTCCTCCAAAACAACCTCATCCAATTGATTAAGGAAAGGTTTAAGCATGATGTTTTCATCTAATTTTCGGTTATCTTTAAAAAGATTTACCCATGGGATTTTTTTCTCAATTCTCCCCTCCTTACCGGAATGATTTCCAACATTTCCAACAATTATTCCATCATTAGCCTTAGTCACAAAATTATGATTCGAGTCAAAATCAAATTCCTCGGACTCGGAATCCTCCTCCCCAAGTGTTAAAGAAACACTAGGCGATGTCACATTATCCCCCTTATCCTTCCCCGTTAAAACCTTCGAAGGGGGAGCACCCTTAATCTCCACAAGAGATGTTTCACTAACCTTACGAATTCCAGCAGTATAAGGCAGAGAAGAAGAAGCACAATTCAGGTCAGCAGAAGGAAGAGAACCCGGCCCAATTTTAAGGGGCACAATGCCAACAATTGAAGAAGCACGGGCCTTTTTCTTTGCCATAATTTAGCCAAGAAAACAGCCCAGAATTTCCAGCAAAAACGGCCCAAATGAAATGACAAACACCTAAGCAAAGGAAATGACGTCAAAAGAATCCACCAGAATGAAACCCGACAAATTGACGTCCAAAGGAAAACCAAAAGGCCAGCAAGCAATGAAAAACAATGCAGAAATTGAAATCCAGCAAAGTTAGAAAATAAATCCCAACCAACCTGGAAATTGACGTCAAAAAGGGAGTGGATAAACCAATGAAAACCTGCTGGACTGGCCCAAATATGTGCCTGCCAAAAATACTGCCCAGAATTCCTAGCAGAAACAACCCAAATAAAAGGCAATTAAAAGGCCCAGCAAAGAAGGCCCAGAATTCCCAGCAAATACGGCCCAGAAGAAGGCCCACAAATGGCCCAGAGAAACCCAGAAAGCCCAGCAAGAACGGCCCAGGAAAAGGCCCAAAGAAGCCCAATAGGAACACCCAGCAAAGGCCCAAAATATGGCTCTAAACAAGCCTAAAGAAACACCTCAATCCAGCCCAAGAATAAAGCCAAGGAGGCCCAAGAAATTCCAACAAAAAGGCCCAAGGAACTAAAACTGGCCAGGTAAAAACCAATTAAAGCCCTCACACCGGCCCAAAATTGGATCCAAAACCTGACCCAAAAACCAAGTAAAATCGGCCCAAAGCAGCAGTCAACGGGTCTCCCACCTACCACCTGGAAATATATCACCAAAATAGCAAAAAAACAGGAGTAGGAAGCTGCAAGGCAGGGAAATACTCTGAACGGCCAGAAACTCTGAAAATTGCAGACCAAATCAAAGACCAATTCAAATGTAGCATGCAAAATACATACACATTACGTACAGAAAAACCAAGAACTCCATGGAAGCTTCAGAAACACGTTACCAACAGCTAAGAAAACTGAAAACCCATCAAGTATAATCCAAAACTGGAGTTGAAAACCAAGAACCAAACTGCAGGAGGCAAGATAAAACCAGCTAATATCCGGTTGAAAAAATGGCAATAGCACCACGAACTAAGCACTCCAGCAACAATGAAGTATCAAACTGAAATAATCCCAGAACGATTCAAAGGTGAAAACCGACCAGCAACACAAGCTGAAATGAAACCCAGAAACTCCAGCAATTCCAGCAAGAAGAAGCACCAAAACACCAAGCTCGGAAGAAAACCCAACAAGATAACCAAAACTGGAGATAACCAAACTGAAGATGGAGAAGGAGAGAAACACGGCCAGCAGCCTAAGCTCCAAACTCCAGCAGAAATTCGAAAATCCAACAAGCAGAAACTGCAGAATCCAAGCTGAGTAAAATACAAACCCGAACCTGAAGCTTAAAAGAATATGAACATGGAGGCAGGAAAAACTTCAAAACTCACGAAATGAAGAGAACCCAAATCAACCATGACCATAACCAAAACTTTGAGCAGCAGGAATCGAAAATGCAGGCACACAAAATCTTCAATAACTCAAAAATGAGTACCACAAGAACAGAAACCAATATGTTTAATCAGATTTTCACCCAAGAGAAGTAAAAATCTAACAAAACACAAGAAGAAATGAAGGAAAAACTCAAGTCAAGTGATCACCAAAGTGGGATTTTCTCTCACTAGGTTGAGAGCATCTCTCTCTAACTCCTTGACTTACTGAGAGCTCTACAGCAGCTTGGTTGATTGCATTATTGTTTGACAGAGAATAACATACCAACACCATCAAAATAATTACAGTATGAATAAACCAAGTTCTTGAATTCCATAAGAAAAACCAATGAATTTCGAGGCAATTGCCACCTTAAAGTCAATTTCTTTTTTATTTTCACTTTGGGGGTGTTGGAGGGCCAAAGACCCAGGCATCTATGCTACACATTGTGAAGACGAGGAATTCAAGTACATCATCGATGATAGGTCCCTCTATTGGAAAAATTGGCTGACTTTGGCACGAGTTTTGAGTGGGACCCGGTTGTTCAATTTGGAAGATGAAAGTTGAATTGTGTTCTCCTTCGTGAGTACATCGAAATCATATACTTACTTGCCAAAGTTGATGCTCGGGTGAATGAGAAATTGAGGCTCAAATTGTGCCACTCAAAAAGGAGTTTATGTGGGAAAAATGAATTTGTCCCACATAGGAAGAAGATGAGGAACTCCAAAGGTCATTGCCATTAATGGTAGCCTAGCCTATAAATAGTGGCTCATTTTCCTCATTTCAACACACAAAAAAAGGCAAAAGCTTTCAAGTTTAGAATACACTAGAAATTCATTTGCATAGAGTTCTCTCTTGGTGGTGGTGTAGTTCAGGCACTAGTTCAGTTCGCCGGAGTGGTTTCTGCGGTGCTCGAAAGCTACTGGTTTTACCGTTGTATCCTGAGAAACGGACGCTCGTTTTAAACCTCAAGCACGGACGGTGAGGGGGCGAATCTGTTTTAAGGAAACTGTGTGTAACATAGGCCTCGGGTTAAAATTCTATGTTTCAGTTGTTTAATTCATGCAATTTTTCGTATTAAATTTACAGTCCATGCTTCATGAATTTATGATATATTGTTCGTATGCTTCATGAATTTTAAATTCTATTGAAACAAAAGTTATTTGTTGGAAATAAAACTTTCAATGATCTGGTGAAAATTCGATATACGGTTGTTTGAATTTTGTTGATTTGCATAGCTACAAAATTGAAAGACTTTGTCAAAAAGATCTAAACTATCTAAGAAGAGTTTGGGATTTAAGCGGTCCGATTGTGACCCCCCTCCTCATTTGGGAGTCTTTTAATTGCGCATTATTCAAATTGACGAGACGAAAGACAACATTTCCCGATTTTATCCACGTACACTAAATTTCCTACACCCTCCACAGTTGTAAATCGAAACTAAAGATGTTTAAACGTACAGGTGCATCCAAGGTGTAAGAAGGTTTCAACTCATCCTCTTGCATGAGATTCTTCCCAAGCACAGAGTTTGAACCAGATTCTGCTGCTAATCCTTCAGAAATAGCTTGTTGCTCCTGCAACTCCTCAACTTTTGTGAGTCTTGCATCTACACATTTACAAACAACATCCAATCATCAAAAGATGGTGTAATGGCCAAATAACCTTCCAAATAAATTTATTGAATTCAGTGGTCTCATGATTATTACCACATGCTTATGACTTTAGATGCTACAATTCACGTCGTATTCTAGCCGAAACAATAGAAAACAATTTGCAACATAGCCTGGGATTTGTGCCCGTAAATTTCCTTTTAGTGATGAATATTAAAAGAATGGGCATAATTTCCAGTTCTAATGCTTGGTATCACAAGATATCATGTCGGCAAATGAACTAATAGCAACGATATTTATTATATAAATAAGTATCGTATCACATATATTTGTATACCTATAAGTATCGTATCACATATATTTGTATACCCCAGCACATTCATGGATATTTTTATATCATACCAAGCTTAATTTCATAATCATGATATTTTTCCCCAGAAATTGTGCCAATAGTATGATTATCGCATTTAGCAGAATTAGTAAGATATGGGCAATCGAGAAGAAGTTATAAAATTTCATGGAATTCCTTCAATAGCGTAGACCAAAGATTTGGTCTAAAATTAGCTGAAGATACAAAACTGACTTGTCTCTCGAATTATTTGAACTTTTGGACTACAAAAAAGTTACCAAAATAGATATTTACATCTCAAGTATTGTGCTTCACATTTGCCTTTCCCTAAGAACAAACAATATACTCATTTTCCATTCAAAGCTTGAACTTGGGAGCTTGCACTTAAAAGGTACTAACAAACAGTCTTTGATTTCTCAAGTGAATTCTCTTTTTCCCTCTTTTTTATTTTTATTTTTAAAGTTATGATTTTATAGATTAGGAACGAGAAACTGTAATCTCAGACAATCCAATTGGGATGCCCTAGACTTGACATGTCACTTGGCAGGAGTAACATGAAGCTCAGGTTAGGGATAGTACGAATAAAATTTCTCTTATGTGAGCAGTCTTCTTAAAGAGAAGCATTTGCAGATTGAGGGATAGAGCTCTTGGAACAAGAAACAAAATCAGTCACAAATTAACATCAAATCTAAAAATTGATTTAACTCAATATTCAAAGCTTTGGCATGTTAAGTGCCATAACCGCTACACGATAAAAATATGAAGGACATAAACTCTTAACAATAAGAGTGTGTTTGATTGACATGGAAAATAACACCTAGAAAAGAAAATATTTTCCATCTTTTGTGGAAAATAAAAACCACCTCTACCCAAGGAAAATGTTTTCCTTAAAAACAAGGAAAATTAGGCATATTTTCAAAAGTTGGAAAATGTTTTCCATGGAAAAAAATGGCAATCAAACACTCCAAGTAGGAATTTGGGTGGAAAACTGATATTATTCATGAAAAATAAATGTAATCAAACACACCCTAATAAAAAATTACCAGCCTCCCTAGATAATGTGGATATTGGTGCCTGGTGATTAGATGGTTGATGGACTGCACTCTTAACTCCCAAACTAAGCTGAGGAGCGACTGATGAGCTTTGAGAAGTGAACTGAAATTATTGCATTATGTCAAGCACAAATTTCATACATCGAGAAAGCCAATGGAAAAGAATTTGAGCATGACTGGCAAAGCTTATTGCTTGTTTTAAAACTTGGCTAAAATTTTATTAACTTTCCAATCAGTAAAATTCCAATTTTAACTACACACTTCATAGGACCCAACTTTTATCAACATTTCAACCACACATTTCATTAACTTTTATTAAAATCAGCCAAAAAATTTATCAAAGCTTTGTCACAAAGACCCTTGATAATAATTTATTAATTTAAGTTAGTCAAACATACTTTTATCTATAAATTTCATAGGACCCCTAACTTACTACCCACTTGTTATCAAGATATTCCATAAGACCCATAGCTCATAAGCGCTTTGTTCTAAGAAATTGCACTATACCAAATCTTCTTCACTCTTCATTATATTGACTTGAAAAAGTACTGGGAGTCGTTAAAATTTTTTTGTAATGATGCCGTAAATTTGTCTGTAAAACTTGGCTCCCAAAGATTTCAGTTTTGCCTAAAAACAATTTCAGTGAACTACAATGCCCCATTTAAAAGATATCAGAGGATGACTCTGAAATTTAACCAATCGTATGAGCATATGTAAGTGAAAAGAGTGGTCAGACAAAATTCCTAACATTGAATGTATCAAAGAATACATAATCCTCAGTGTGTGTGTGTGTTGGAGGGAGTGATGTTCCGTCAAAAAATATATAAGGAATATCCCACAGGATTCATGTATTCATCCCAATAAATCGAATTCCATCCAACTTCAAATAAACTTGTTGTCTAAACGTTCACACAAAACTTGTTACAGAAGAGGAAGAAAACAAAATTCAGAATGCAAACGAAACGTAAAAGGCAGGAAACAGCATGAAGGAACCCAAAAGAGAGCACCTGCTGCAAGAGTGGGTTCTGTTGCTAAGTGGCATATTGTTAACATCTTAAAAATTCACAGAACAAAACGTAAAAGACAACCAACCTGGCAAATCCCAAGGATCAGACTTGTTAACATCGACCTCCGGGATGACAGAAGCTGGGAGAGGATAGGAAAGAACCTTACGCTTCAAATATTGTACCACGAGTTCTTCATCCGTAGGATGGAACCGAGATTAGGGCTTCCCTGCTTCAGTTGGGTGGATAGAGTTTGAGAGAGGGATTCTGGTGGCCACGCAGATTGCAGAGCGAGATAGAGGGGGAAGAAATTGAGAGTGAGAGTGAGAACGGTGGCGGGGAGAATGAGAGAGGGGGGGTACTTTTTAAAATAGCTTGGTCAAACAACCAATTTTTCATTTTGACCATTTTTTTTGTATTCACCACATTGGCCTATTGTCATTAAAAAGACAATTCTACCCTTATTCATGTTTAATAATTACAAAAGTATATCAATTGTTTAAAAGACAATAATACCCTTAATAGTTTAAAAAAATTCTGTTACTTCCATACGTAAATTTCAAAATCACTTTTGGTTATCAGTTTCTCCAATATAGTAAAAAAGAATTTTTTCCTTCCATCTGCTAAAATATTGAAATCTCCCAAAATTATCAAAGGTTCAAGAAAGAAACAATACTCACAGTTGGCACTGGAAATTGGTAAGTGTAAATACGTATTTTGAATTTTGTTTTAGTTAAATTTACTGTTTGAATCTGTAAATAATTATTTTGAAAAAGGCAGATGAATTTTACAGTATTTAAACACAGATTTATAATTTTTTATAGCAAAAACAACAAAAAAATTCATATCTGTATGCATATATTTTACAGAAAAAATTTATAGGTGTCTGTAAAATAAATATTTAAACATTATTTCGTTGAAAAAGGGAAAAAATAAATAATTTGAGCGTAAATTTCAGATGAAACGAACGAAAAAAGTTGGGCCAAATGTTTCCAGCCGGCCCAGTTGTCAGGGCCGGATGGAAACAGCCGGCTGTTTCCAGCCGGCCCAGTTATGGAAGCAGCCGGCTGTTCCCAGCCGGTTGGGCCGGCTGGTCCCTTTTTTTTTCCCCCTTCAGATTTTAGAATTTATTTGTTCAGTAAAATATGTTTATTGAAATAAATATTAATGAATATTTAAATATTAATTGAAATAAATATTTTTGAAACAATTAAAATAATCAATGAATTATTTAAAGTATTAAATTAAATTAAATATGAAATGAACAAGTTAAAAAATTATATATTAATTCCTTATTTTTAATTTGTGGCAGATATGGCATCAGCATGTGTCCCAATTTGTTACTTTGGTGAATTTTAAATGAATGAAAATGCTCAGTGGGAATGGAAATGGACGAGTGAAGGAGATGGGGTTAAAGCAATTTTTATAACAAGGAGTACATCGTTCGCAGAAATGTACAGTGATATATAAAACATGCTTAACGTCGATCCCTCTCAGTAATTTATGGAATTGGGATTTTTGTTTCATAAGCATTCAACCATTTCAATTCCACCTATGAAAGTTACTTCTGAAGTGGAAATGAAACATCTAATTAAATTGAACCAAGGCCGGAAGTCGACTCCTATTTGCGTAACTTTATTGTGGAAGAATGTCCACGAGGATGAACACGAAGTTTCAAATGAAGAGAATAGTAATGTAAATGATGTTTGGGATACAATTCAGATTGTTCGTGAAGATGATGTGGTTATTCTCGAGACCACTGCTACTCACCATGGTCACACTGTTACGCACAGAATTCCATCGATAGTTGAAGACAACGAGAATGAAAATGCATTTACAAACGAGAATTTGATTGCTTTATCTCGTAGGAGACATGAGTTGGGTGGGAGCTCACAAGCCGGATCGAGTACACGGTCCTCTAATTGTTCGCATGTAGTTCCCGATGATGAAGATGTATATGTCGAGCAACTATTCGAATCAAAGAAAGAATTGCAAGAAGCTGTGCACCGGATTGCTTTAAAACATAACTTTGAGTTTAAAGTGAAGAAATCAAACAAGTCATTATACACAATTATCTGCGTTGACGACAGTTGCCATTGGCGTTTGCGAGCGACTAAGATGGACACGAATGAGTTCTTTGTAGTCCGTAAGTATGCACGGGAATATACTTGCGAAGTGGGTATTCGTCGAAATGATCATAGGCAGGCCCGATCATGGTTCATTGGTTGAGAAATAATGCACAAGTTTCAGGATCCACGAACGATCTACAGACCTTTGGACATCATTAATGATGGTCGACGAGAGTACGGGGTGGTCATGAGCTATCAGAAGGCTTAGAAGGCTAAAGAATGTGCATTGGAGGATTTGATGGGTTCGGCTGAGGAGAGTTATGCGAAATTAGCCAGGTATTTCATTGTTTAAGTGTTTATTTCTTTATTATAGTAAATTTTAATTATTTAATTTCAATTGTTTATTTATATGTAATTAATTATTTAATTGAATTGTTTATTTTTCTGTTCATTTAATATTTAATATATTATCTAAATTATGATTATTTTTATTTACATTGGCCAGGTATTGCTATAACATGGGAAGAATTAATACTGGGTCGGCATTTTTTATTGAAAAGGATGACGAAAATCGCTTCAGATATTTCTTTATGGCCCTTGGACAATGTGTTCGAGGATTTCGAAATGCAATGCGACCCTTAATCTTAGTCGACGGTACAACCCTTAAGGCGAGATACGGGGGCAAGTTGATTATTGCAACATGCCAAGATGCGAACATCCAAATTTACCCTCTTGCGTTCGGCATAGTCGACGGAGAAAATGATATAGCAATGAGTTGGTTTTTCACGAAGTTGAGGGAAGTAATTGGAGATGTCGAAAATCTTGCATTCACAACCGATCGAGGGTAGTCAATAATAAATGGTATCGTCGAAGTCTTCCCCGAGGCACATCATGGTTATTGTATGTACCATATACAGGGAAACTTGAAGACCAGGTATCGAGGCAATGGCGTCGTTGCGTTGTTTAGGAGAGCTGCAGAGGCTTATAGTTTTGAAGAGTTTGATAAGTTCATGGTCGAAATATACAGTAAATCGCATGCTGCATGGGAGTATCTAACAGAGATGAGGATTGAACATTGGGCACGATCACATTTTTCAGAACGTCGATACAACATGATGACGTCGAACAATGCGGAGTCGCTTAACGCTTTATTCAAGAAAGATCGAGAGTTACCAATTCTTGCAATGATCGAGAACATTCGTGACAAGTTACAACAGTGGTTTCATGATCGACGTGAGGAATCACAGAGTTGTGCAAGTGTGCTAACCCCGGCTCAAGAAGATAAGCTCTTCAAGACTCTAGATGTGGCAAGAAAGGTATATGTAGAACCACTGGATCAATTTCGCTTCTTCGTGAGATGTGCACGTAATTTCGGATACATTGTGAACTTGAATGATAACACGTGCACGTGTAGACGGTTTCAGTTGGAGAGTTTTCCATGTACACATGCAGTGGCAATGGCTATGCATAGAGGATTACCACCACACACCTTATGCAGTGTGTATTACATGACTGATTATTGGAGAGCAGCATATGCGGAAACAATATTTCCTGTACCAAATGAAGTCGAGTGGGAAGTGCCCGACCACATTCTCCCACTGAATAACTTGTTGCCACCAGCAGTTGGACCACGTACTCCTGGACGTACACGTACGTCTAGAATACCATCTACCGGAGAGTTTTCCCAGCCTCGTAAGTGCGGTAGGTGCGGTGCAACAGGGCATACTAGAAGATATTGTACAAGTCAGATTCCTCTACATGACAATATAACGGATGTGTAATTTTAATAACTATTTGCAATGTAATTATTTATAACATTGACGTTAATTATTTATGCATATTATTTATGCGAATTATTAGATTTAGTATTTTTTTCAAACATTTCATTCATTACATGCATTTGTTATGCATATTATTTATGTTAAT